ATTCTAAAAGAAACATAACAATATTGTTTTATGTACTTTCACTTTTCACGTATAGTATAACTACTCTTTAAGATTAAGTACTGTGTATCTCAAAAACCAGAGCTAATAAAAATTTTTCATTGTTATTTTCGTTTTTATCACCCCAAAATTAGTAGAAACTGACTAATTTAGTGTAGGAAACATTCAAAAAATATTTTTTTGTTGTGTTGTGATAATTTTATATGATCTGCACAAATAATATGTCACAAAAACATAATAGTACAAAAAGACGAACTTTGAAACTATTATGACTAAATCATCTAAAAGAACAATTCGTTCAGGCCAATCTCAACACCCTACACAGTAGGTTAATGGACTGACCCTATCAGAAAACAACTACTCCCCTGGCCTGGACGAGTGGCCAAACAGACCGAAACCGGTCTGCAAGTGTGTTCCAATAATTGAAAATCTATTGCGGCAGTTTTGTCGACAACAGCATATGCAGGAATAACTTCAGTGAAGAATGCTGCACTGACACCTGTCGGATATAATCCAACGCCCTTCGTAGTATTAGCCAGGGGAGTAGTTGTTTTCTGATAGGTGTCAGTCCATTAACCTACTGTGTAGGGTGTTGAGACTGTCCTGAATGAATTGTTCTTTTAGATGATTTGATTTATAGGCAGTCTTCAAGTATGCCCATTGACTATACGTGAAATATTATGACTAATTTTCATTTGACTTTTTCATCAATACCGTCAAACAAATCGTTCCGCCAACTCATAATAATAACAATTATAATAATAATGATGATGTGGATGATGACGATAATTTTAATTAAAAAAATGAGTGTTATCAAGTTGTTCACGAGCATCTTATACACACAAATACTCACCGCAGTTCATCGAGTATTCGAATGGATATATGAGCAGAGAGGGTCAAGGAGAGGAGTCGCTGAATGTGAAGAGAACCTGCTCATCGATAGATGTGTCACGCAGGACTCCATACTGTATAAGAGTAACCTCTTTGTTGCCTGGATCGATTACCGCAATCATTCAACACAACATTGCATGAGCTTATTTTGCATTTGTTCAGATGCTTTGCGGTACCCGAAAAAATACTGAGATGCCTTGAACGACTGATAAAAACTCTGGCAGAGTTCGCTTCACCTTAACATCTGGTCTGGCTAGGTCAGGATGGGCCACTTTCAGAAGGGGCACAGTATTTCTGTATACAGTAGTTTCACTCAGCGTCGGTCCCTTTGATGTCGGTGTCCAGGAGTTTCATTTTTTATAATGATGACGTATTTGACACTAATGACATTTCTCCCTACTACAATCTCAACCAAAGCGTGTATACACTGCTCAACATAACAACTATTCATATAAACTGCTCAAAAAAAAACAGTCTATGAAAACCATGTTGGGCACCTGAGAAAATTGTACAAATGATAATTTTGCATTTGTGTAATATTGAAGTAACCCAGATCATTTGGGCAATGATGAACTAAGTTTCAAGTAGATTTTAAAAATTCATGGAATCGGCAGATGTTCATATTCGAATGTGACAAAATATATTTTCATTTCAACAAGAAAAAAGACAAGATAAAGNATGCAAAATTATCATTTGTACAATTTTCTTAGGTGCCCAACATGGTTTTCATCGACTGTATTTTTTTGAGCAGTTTATATGAATATTTGTTATGTTGAGCAGTGTTTAAACGCTTTGATTGCGTGCCTGTCTTGAACTCGTCGTTTGCGCAGACCTGAGACTGCAACTCCTGGGTCTGCGTGTAGAAAATTCAAACCAAAAATCACCCGAAGTGGGATTACTGTATATAGTATACTGTGGAAGGGGTGTATTGAAGAGCGATTCCCTCAGTTCCCTTCTTTTCTGCATCTCACTATTGCCATTATCCGTTGCGCTCAGAAATACTCGAGGATATAACCCTCTGAAACTAGAGACATAAAGCCACCCATTCGTTTTATATGGATGATCTCAAACGTTATGCATCTGGAGGAAGGAATCTTCATCAGGAACTGGGCGGAACCTCATTGTAATCAGCCTGCCTCTGGTAATGCGGGGCTCTGCCAGAGGTGACCAACTCTTCCCTTGCTACTCGTGGGAACACACATTAATCAAGCAAAAACAAAAACAGAAACAAGAGAACAAAAACCAATCCCGAGGCTGGACAGAAGTGCTCACCTCAATCTAATGTGGTGGCTGGGGATGAACAGAAATGTCCACTCCTTGACAAGGCCTTCGACGCAGTTTCTCACGAAATTTTACTCAATAAGCTGCACCATTACGGTATACGTGGTCTGTCGGCTGACCTTATGACTGATTACCTAACAAGCAGAGTACAACAGGTAAAAGTTGGACAAGAAATAAGTAACGTTTCGAAAGTAAAAATCGGTGTACCACAGGGGTCAGTATTAGGACCGATACTGTTCCTTGTGTACATGAATGATATTACAAGAATTAATGGATTATGAAGAAGTCCTAGCTAGTCTTTTACCAAAAGTAACGTTTTTTAATCCTTTTATCATCACTCTCGTTTACCACAAAGATGCACAGATAACTTTTTTGTGATTGATGGCTCACCATCAAGTCTAAAATCTCCGGAACGAAACTTCGCAAACCAACGACGAACAGTGACCAGGCAGTGACACTATCAGTGGCAAATGCTGTTTCGGCAGCGTTTTGGTTCATTTTGAATTTGTAGAGAAATTCTGCTTGCCAATATTGGGTGGAATCCTCCACCAACATACCCAGATTTGCACCCCATCACGATTTGTCCTAATACTGGTGACTAAGTCAAAAGTAAACCACGAGTCTTGAATCAGCAAAACTTTGACTTGCTTCGTTTCCCCATATCATCTTGCGTAAGCTCTTTATTTCTTCTCACAGCTATTGAATCCTATCTGTCTACTTTTTCCATTGCTCTCCTCTTCAACACCCTCTTCTTCCGACCTAGATAACACATATGGACATTCTGTGGATATCCAGTGGACGTTCAATTCATGTACAAAGGATATATCATGGACGTTTGAGAGTATATACCTGGACCTCCATTAGATGATCGCACATTTTCTGGATATCCACAGGATATCTGGATGTCCACAGGATATCCATTCCAAGACCACTAAAGGATATCTATAGGATATTCGGTGTTGTCTGAAGATTCTCTCGGCAGTTCATTGATTTTTTGCGTCCTCCAATCACGTCTTTCTTTTTTCCCCCCAACTCCAATCTCCCTCCCTCAACATTTATTCCCCCTGGTTAACCTGATATAGTAGTTGCTTAATGTAAGCGAAAATCTTGAATGTCAAATTGGAAAGCAGATGAGATTCTAAAAATTCAATAGTATACGGGGTTCTTTATGTATATATCAAAAAAATCTGATAATATATCTCAATAATTGACAATTCAAACTGACAATAATTGACAATTCCAACGATCTTATAAAACACTTTGAACTGTCAATTAAATAAATCTCAATCTAAATTGAAACAATAATTAACAATTCAATCTATCTTATCACACACTTTGAACTGTAAATTAAGTGAATCGGATTTGAAATTAAAACAATAATTGACAATTCAAAATTACAACAATGAAACTGACAAGAATTGACAATTTAATCTATCTTATGAGACACTTTAAGCTGTCAATTAAATGAATCTGATTTTAAATTGAAACAATAATTGACAATTCAAAATGACAATTGAACTGACAAGAATTGACAATTCAATCTATCTTATAAGATTGTCAATTGAATGAATCTGATTTGAAATGGAAACAATAATTGATAATTTCCACTATCTTATAAAACACTTTGAGCTGTCAATTAAATAAACCTGATTCGAAATTGATAAAATTATAGACAATTCAAACTAACAATGATTGACAATTCCAAGTATCTTATAAAACAATTTTAACTGTCAATTAAATAAATCTCATTCGAAATTGAACCGATAATTAACAATTCAAAATGACAACAATCAAACTGACAAGAATTGACAATTCAATCTATCTTATAAGACACTTTAAACTGTCAATTAAATACATCTGATTTGAAATTGAAACAATAATTGACAATTCCCACTGCCTTATAAAACACTTTGAAATGTCAATTAAATAAATCCCATTCGAAATTGAAACAATAATCAATAATTCAAAATGACGACAAGAATTGACAATTCAATCTATCTTATAAGACACTTTGAGCTGTCATTTAAATAAATTTGATTCGAAATTGAAAAAAATTAGACAATTCAAACTATATTATAAGAAACTTTGAACCGTCAATTGAATAAAACTAATTTGAAATCGAAACAATA